TAGCCGGGAGTGACTCAGTCAATCCTGTTGCTCAGGGTTCAGAGGGCACTGCCTCTCCTTTTCCAGCGGCACCTCACGAATTCCGGGCTTAAAAAAACAACCACCGTTGCAACAGCTCCAGGGTGACTTATCCTGACTTCTCCTCCCCCACGGGGTTTTGCCTCCACCTCGCAGGGATTGTAGGAAACCGAACCTTCCCTTCCCCACCGGCGCTTTGACCGGGCTTGTCCCACACTCCCCTGTCACCGCGGGGTGGGAATCGGCCACCGGGAATTCTGGCTGTGTGTAAGCATGGGGGGTTGCCATGGTTTGGTGACACACCCCCGAAAACTGGGGAAAAAACTCTGGATATCCCCCCCTTCCCTCCTGAGCAGGGTGTCCCAGGCAGCAGATATTCAGATATTTGTGCCTGCAAAGGGTTTATCTCATTTTTGAGGAGACAAATTGGGTCTTGTTCTGTTTTCCTTTAAATTCATATGAGGCTGAATTCCTGCCTGATTCCCAGCATGGAATTTGGGGGTTTTTGGGAAGGGAACAGTAAATCTCCTGTGGCTTTGGAAAGGGAAAGGGATACTTTGGTGGCTTTTAAAGGCTTTAAGGTTTAGACAGGCCTGGTCAAAGCCAGTCTGGAAAATGTTCAGAATCCCAACGTTTTAAACATTTTGGGAATAAAAACAGGTGACTGTCAGGTGCTGGGATCTGAGGCAGCTGAGCAGAGAGTCCTAAGTGACTTAGGTGTGCAACATTCCATGGAGATGTCTGCTCTTCCCATAGGGGTTCTCCTTTGGTGTCTCTCAAATCCGATCCCAGTGCTGGGACTGCTGGGATGCTCATCCCATGTTCCAGCCTCTGGGCTGCTGCTTGTCCTCTTCCCTTTGGGTAACCTGGCAGGGGAAAAACTTTGGGATGAATCTGCAGATGGCTGTGGAAAAGTCCTGGCTGGCCTGGGAAGCAGAGGGATTTCCTTTTTCCTGCTCTGGTTTTGCTTCCAATTGAAAGGGAAGGATTTGGGGATTTGTCACACAGGTTTGGGGATGGACCTTGGGGTGGTGGAGGCAATCCCTCAGCCGGGGTGGATGATGCCAGGGGAGGGATCGGGGGTCCAGTTTGGAACTGAGGTTTTAAGTCTCTGCCAGATTAAAAGCTGGACTAGTAAGTAAAGCCAGGCTGGAAAACAGCCTCTGGCACAGAGACACAAAACTCCCGGGGAACAGGATGGAACCCCACGGAGGAACAACTCCATGGGCAGGACAGGACTGTCCTGCCTTGGGAAAACATGTCCAAGGCAGGGTTGGACCAGGCTTGGAGCAACCCGGGATGGTGGAAAGTTCCACCTGTGGCAGGGGTTGGGACTAGATGAGCTTGAAGGTCCCTCCAACCCAAACCATTCCATGATTCCTGCCCTCGGACCTTTGGGGTGCAGCTCGAGGGCGGCTTTGGAACCTGGGACCTCAAATCCCTTTGCATTTGAAATTCATGGGCTGCTGGACCAGCTCCCTTTAATTCCTTGGCTTTGGAATTGGAAACATGGCTTTGTTTATCCGGGTATTTCATGGAAATCCGGTCGGATGGTGGTGATCAGCCCCTGGAGTTGTCTCTTGCTGGAGCTGAGGTGGCTGGAAAAACCCATCAAATCCAGCAAAACCAGCCCCTAGTTGTGGCTCTTGTCTCACCTCTCTCCAGAAATAAAACTCCCCACTATTTGTCTCCCATACACAACTCTTCCCATGTTTTACCCTTCCCCCCTTGGCACTGCTCCAGCGCAGTATTCCCCCAAACCCCATGGATCTGAGCCAATCCTTCCCCCTGGATAATCCCATCACCCATTTCATTGCCCTTTGTATTTCAAGCTCCTCTTGGTGCTCGTTTGTGGAGTCTCCCCGGGCTGCACCCACCAGAGGTGAAAGGCTGGTCTGGAAATCCGTGCTCCACGTGCCCTCCCAGCCGGGCTCTCCCTTTGTGTCCGTTAATCCCGGCGCGTGCTGCTCCGGCAGGATTACAGGGCCGGATCAATGGGCTTTGGGAACTGCTGAGAAGGGCAGATCCTGCCCGGATAAAACACCCCAAGCTCGTGTGGGGAGCCACCAGAGCCTGGCATGGCTCTTCCAAACATCCGTGGGAGCCGGAGGTCCCTGGTTGGTTGGGTTTCCTTGGCTTTGTGAGCCAGGAAAATCCATCAGCTGGGGGAGAAGTTGATTGGAGCAGCTCTTAAGTGGCTGAAAGAGCACCAGGAGCTGTGGGGAGATAGAGGGAGTTCGTGTGCTGCACCCTCTGCCTGCTGGGATCTCTGTCCCCAGGGAAGGATAACCTGGATGTTGGGCTGGGTGCTGTGCTGGGGGTGTGGAATTGGAAACAGCCCTTTTGGAGCAGTGGGAACCGGGACAATGAACCAGCGAGGTTCTGCTCCCTGGGCCATCCCCATCCCGGTCCCGGAGTGGGAGGAGCCCTCCCGTGTCAGGTGTTCTGGGAGCCTTGGAAAGGCCACTCCCACATCCTCCCAAGGGCCTGGACTTTGAGCAGGTCCTGTTGGGGCCCCTTTGATGTCCCGGTGGGGCCCCTTTGATGTCCCCGTGCCCTGTTCTCCACATACCTGAGGCCTGAGCTCACAAAGCTTCCGGCGCCTTCCGGCCTCGCTCCGGCTCCCTCGGGAGTCCTGCCCTTCCCAAGGACCTTGGCAGCAGCTCTCCCCTGCTTTAGGGATAAACACTGTGAATTCTGCAATTTTCCACGTGTTTTGCTTCAACGCCAGATCCCTGGAGATGCTCCTGGTGCACCTCATTTGCAGGGAGCATCCAGAGGTATCCCGTGGGTATCCAGGTTGTTCGGCTGGAAGAGGCTTTGAGAGGCCAACGCTTCTTTGACTTGTAAAATTCTGCCTTTTCTTGCACTGCAGAACCGAAACTCGGCTCATTTACATCCGGACAATGGCCCAGAACAGGCAAAGCTTCCTGAAAAACCGGGGCTGGCCCTGCCCTGGGCTGTGTGCAGGGCCTGACTCACCAGAGCCGGTCCCTGCTCAGCCGGGGTGACTCTCAGGTCACTGCACCATCCCAGACCTTTCTGAGTGATGTGCCAGTGTTTCTCCATCCTGGGATTACTCCAGCTGCCCCTTTTTGTTTCAAAATCACCCATTTTAAGCCCAGCTCCTCGTGGCATCCCCGAGGGAATTGCCCGGTTTCCCCACAGCGGGTGGAAACGTTTCTGGCCATTCCATTCGTGATGCCAAGCTTGGGAGAACGACTGTGCACTTCCAGGGAAATACTCGGGCTGGGAACCTGCTGGTGTGGGTGACTTGCACACACAGCAAGCCAGGAAAACTGGAATTTGGGAACAAAGAGTAAGCAAGTGTGACCCTCTGTGGCACTCTCGACCTCACAGGGACCTTGGCACAGCTCTGGCCACACTCTCTTTGTGACCCAGCACAGGAATTGTCTCCTGCACAGCTTTATTCCCGTTTTTCCCTTATATCCATGTCCCTGAGAGCAGCAGAGTGCTTTGTCCCTCGGGAAGGGTTCAGGGACACCGTGGCCATCTCGCTGTGTCAGGCCAGGGGTTGCTTTTTGCCAGGCTCTTCCCACCCCCCACCTGGAACCCATGGAATTCTTCCCTCCGCTGTAACATCCCAAAATAGCTGCTCTGGTTTCTTTTAAAAATAGTCTGTTCTGTGTCATTCCCTGCTAAAAATGTGCCCCTGAGTCTCATGGGGACATGGCAGGGGACAGAGGGTCCGTCGGCCTTTTCGGGAGAGGGGACGGTGGCACCGTGGCCACGTGCCCTGGAGCCGCCCCGTTCCCAGAGCTGGGCACCCTGCCATGGATTTGGGATGATGTGTTCAGGAATATTTGGAAAGAGTGACTGTGGAGGTGGAGGAATGTGCCTGGTGCTGATGACCAATGTGGGAATGAGGATGCTCTGAGTCCACCCGGGCTGGAGAGGCTTTGCCTTTTCCTGGGAAGCAATTCAACAGCTCCTGCACATCCAGGGAGTGACACAGCACCTCTGGCTCCTGGGACAGACAGGGGTTGGGTTTTTGCAGTGGATTGGGGCTGATTTCCTGACTTAAATTCAAAGGGATCTGATCCTTCTGTAGCTGCCCTTGCCAAGGGGCTCTTGGCACTGAAGCTGCTCCTGCTCCGAGAGGTTTGGGATCATAAAATCCCGGATGGTTTGGGTTGGGAGGACCTTAAAGATCATCTCATTCCAACCACCTACTGTGGGCAGGGACACCTTCCACTGGAATCACAGAATCCCAGGATGCTTTGGGTTGGAAGGGACCTTAAAGCCCATCCAGTGCCACCCCCTGCCATGGGCAGGGACACCTTCCACCAGCCCAGGTTGCTCCAAGCCCCGTCCAACCTGGCCTTGGACACTTCCAGGGATGGGGCAGCCACAGCTTCTCTGGGCAACCTGTGCCAGGGCCTCACCACCCTCACAGGGGAGGATTCCTTCCCAATCTCCCATCTAACCCTGCCCTCTGGCAGTGGGAAGCCATTCCCTTGTCCTGTCACTCCATCCCTTGTCCAAGGCAGTGCCTCCATTTTCACCCAAAGTTCAGGGATTAATCCTGCAGAAACGGGGTTCAGTGTGTGCTGCCCTCGTGAGCTCCCAGATATCTGCCACGATGCCTTGGAATTGCTATTCCTTCCCCCTCCTTCCTCGGGGAGAGCAGTCAGTAGGTATTTGAGGTAATTATTGCTTTTATTCAGTGCTAAAGCAATAATTTGAAGGGATACAGTGGAAAACCAGCAATTTCCTGCCAGTGAGTGACAGATGTTTTGAGATGTGCTTTCAGTCTCCTACTAATTATGCTGACACAAATTGGCAGGAGTTTTCTTCCCAGGCTCCCAGCTCTAATTTTCCCTCTTTTTTCCCCCCTTTATTTTCATTTTTCTGCGAGGTGGAGTCTCCGTGTTGCGACGCTCCGGGAGGAAACGCCGCGGAGTCGGGGGCTGCTGTTCAGACATGGCTTTCCTAACCCTGCCCTTCTCCATCCCTGCCAGGTTCCTACCCCTCCCCCAAGGCTGGGGCCACCCTGGTGGTCTACAAGGATCTGCTGGTGCTTTTTGGGGGGTGGACCCGGCCCAGCCCTTACCCCCTGCACCAGCCCGAGAGGTTCTTCGATGAGATCCACACCTACTCACCCTCCAAAAACTGGTAAGGGCAGGCTTTGATCCCGGAGCAATGTGCCTGGAATGCAGCTGGGGGAACTCCTGGGAAGCTGGGCATGCTCCTGGTGTCCCAGGGGTATCTCTAAAGCTCTTTCTGAAGCAAAAGCAAAGCCACAACCCAGCAGTGGAGCCAAGGACAGGACACACTCAGGGACCTCCTGGGTGCTGATTGCTGCCACAGGGCTCTTGATTTGTACTTAAAATATTCCAGGCTCCCTGAGCATCCCAATCCAGGTTTCCCACCTGGATGTTTCAGTGTTTAATCACACTGGCTGTGAGCAGGGAGGTGGTTCTGAGATAAGCTTTAACTGCTGGAGGTCTTGTTTTTAGTCATGATCCAAACTCAGCTCCCTCAGGGAGCTGGGAGAAAGCAGGTTTCTCCATCATTTTATAAATCCCTGCCTCTACAGCTCCTGGATGGAGCATCCAGTGCCCATGGAGCTGGCAGGAATTTTCCTGTTCCCTTTCAGCACCATTTAGCTGATTTTAGACCCAGCTTTGCCACCGATCCTGCGTGTGAGAAAGCAGCAGAGGCTGTATCCAAGGGATCATTCCTGCTCCTCTCCCACTGAGAACTTTCCATCCTCCCAAGTATCAATTATCCAGGGCACTTTGGTTGTTACAACTCTGTAATTAAACTCCCTGGAAAGAATTCGGGGCAAACTTAATTGGAAGGGGGGATATTCCCACCTTGGCCACGGGACTGGCTCATGCCTTGAAAATGTTTAGCACATTGGATTTCTAATTAGTTTCGTTATTATTTGGACACTCGGAGGTTTTCCTGGTGGTTTTCCTCTGGAACATGTTCTTTGCCGGCCCCTGGGATTTTTTGTTTGCTGTTCATCCAGTGTTTTCCTTTCCCTCCCAATGGTGAACGTCTTCCTGCCTCTTTCCCAGGTGGAATTGCATCATGACCACCCACGGCCCCCCTCCCATGGCAGGACATTCCTCCTGTGTCATCGAGGACAAGATGATTGTTTTTGGGGGATCTCTTGGATCTCGGCAGATGTGAGTTGGGATGAGCCAGCGGGTGTTGGGATGTCCCGGGATAGCTCCTGGTGTTTCAGAAGGAATTCTCCCCAGGATTTCACTGCTGCCTTAGCACACCTCCTGTGGCAAATCCCAAGGCTCCAGCCTGCCAAAAACCCCGTGTGCCCTGAGCCTGTGCCCTGGGCAGAGCTCCCAGGCCCCGGCTGTGCCTCATCCCTTTGTCTCGTCCCTGCAGGAGCAACGACGTGTGGGTGCTGGATCTGGAGCAGTGGGCCTGGTCCAAGCCCAGCATCTCAGGGCCCAGCCCTCACCCACGGGGGGGCCAGTCCCAGGTGAGAGAGACCGGGCTCAGCTTCCCTTCCCGCTGCCAGGCAGCTCTGCCCGGCTCATTCCCAAGTTATCCGAGGATCCCCTGCCCGCCGGGCCCTCCCTTTCCCTCCCTGTTCCTGATCTCTGGGCGTGACTCAGAGCTCTGCTGCACATTTGTAGAACACAAATTGCTGCTCTCACCCCAGGCCCGTGCCCTGGGGCGGCTCAGATCAGGGCAGAGTTAGCACAGGGTGGTTTGGCTCGGGGCCCTTGTGGCTGCTCCGCTCTCCCGATCCCAGGATCCAGTGGCTCTGGACTGTTCCCGCTCCGAGCACGGGCTGGCAGCGCCTGTTTGATTGCTGCCCGGGGCAGGAGCTCATGGGTGTCACCTGGCTTGGTGCAGGTGTCTCCATCCCTGCCTTCCCAGTGATTCCCAGTGTGGCTCGTCCCACCAGGGCACCCAGCAGAGACGGGCTGTGCTCCAACGTGCCTCATCCATTGGGAAAAGAGCCCGAGGGAATATCTCGCCCACCAGCAGCACTCACAGACGCTGCTGCCAGCACCTGCCTCCCAAACAATCCTCCCACCTTCCCACTCCTTTGGAGAGGGGTGTTGAGGCCCCTGTGCCTCAGCTCAGCTTTGGGAAGGGAGATTTCTCTCCCGGGTGAGAGGAGCTGGTTTGGGCCGAGGCCGTGGGATGAACCCTCCGTCCTGCTCTGCCCCAGGCCCGGCAGAACCGGCTCTCCATCCCCGCTCCAGAGCCCAGCCCGGGGCAGGCAGGATCCAGCAGCGCCCGTGCAGCTGAGAACCTGCTCTGTGTGCCCTGGGAGGCCTGGCAGGAGCCCTGACCCTGCTCTTTGCCCTGCAGATCGTCCTGGACAACGAAACCATCCTCATCCTGGGGGGCTGCGGGGGCCCCAACGCCGTGAGTACCTGGGGGAGCAGGGACACGGCACCGGGAGCCCTGGGGGATGCATTTGGGGGCAGGAGGGGACCAAGGGGCATCTTATCCCTCATATCCGGGCGCCCACGCGGGAGATTTTCCAGAGAAGCTGTTTAGGTGTTGCTAGAGCTGCTTTAATTAAGGGAAAAACCCCGAGGCGCTCTCCGAGCAGCTCATTGAGCCTTGGAAGGATGAGCCCTGACTTTGGACTGGGATAGGAGATGGAAATGAAGGGATTTATCCGTGGCCATGGTGAGGTGTGGTCACTCCCAGGCAGTCAGCTCCTGATTTGGGTCACCATTCCCTTTCCACAGGAACAAATCCTCCCACCAGCATCCTGATGGGATGGATGATCTCAGCAGCAAAGGGGGCTCCTAAATCCCAGCCTGGGCTCCTAATTCTCAACCTGGGCTCCTGAGTCTCTCCCCAGGCTCCTAACCGTGCCCCCTTCCCTCGCAGCTCTTCAAGGACGCGTGGCTGCTGCACATGCAGGCCAACCCCTGGACGTGGCAGCCGCTCAAGGTGGAGAACGAGGACCACGGAGCGCCGGAGCTGTGGTGCCATCCTGCCTGCAGGGTACGGGCACGGCGGGGTCCCTGCCCCCACACAGCCCTCATCCTGCTGCCCTTGGGGCACATTCCCTGGCCACAGGAACAAAGCACCGATCCCACCCACCATCATCCTGGGGGTGTGATCTCAGCAGCAAAGTGGGCTCCTAAATCTGAACGCAGGCTCCTAAATCTGAACCCAGGCTCCTAAATCTGAACCTGGGCTCCTAAATCCCAGCCCGGGCTCCTAAATCTGAACCCAGGCTCCTAAATCCCAACCCAGGCTCCTAAATCCCAACCTGAACTCCTTAATCTCACACTGGGCTCCTGAATCTCAGCCTGGGCTCCTGGGCTCCCAGATCCCAACCCAGACTCCTAAATCTCAAACTGGGCTCCTGAATCTCAGCCCAAGCTCCTGAGTCCCAACCCGGGTTCCTAAATCCCAATGCTGGCTCCTAAATCCCAACCCAGACTCCAAAATCTGAACCCAGGCTCCTAAATCCCAACACAGGCTCCAAAATCTGAACCTGGGCTCCTGAATCCCAACACAGGCTCCAAAATCTGAACCTGGGCTCCTGAATCCCGCCCCGTGCTCCCTGCCCAGCCCGCTCCCCAGCCCCTGGCTTCCCGGTGTGGGGGCTCCTCGCGGTGTCGTGACCCGTCTCCTCTCTCGGCAGGTGGGGCAGTGTGTGGTGGTGTTCAGCCAAGCCCCCAGCGGGAGGGCCCCGCTCAGCCCCAGCCTCAACTCGCGCCCGTCGCCCATCAGTGCCACGCCGCCCGCCCTGGTGCCGGAGTCGCGGGAATACCGCTCGCAGTCCCCGGTGAGGAGCACGGACGAGGCTCCCTGCGTGAACGGCCGCTGGGGCACCCTGCGCCCGCGGGCACAGCGGCACACGCCGGCGGGCTCCCGCGAGGGCAGCCTGTCCCCGGCCAGGGGGGACGGCTCCCCCGTGCTCAACGGGGACGGCGCGTCCCCCGGAGCCCCCCCGGACAGCCCGGGGCAGGCGCTGTCCCCCGGCACCCCCTCGGCCGCCGAGGGCCTCGACCCGCGCGTGGGGCCGGGGCCGCGCCGGGGCTCGCTGCCGGAGCACGGGGAGCTGCGCCTGGGCGCCGCCGAGCCGGGCTGGGAGCACAAGGCCCTGGACGGCGCCGAGGGCAGGACGGCGGGCGCGCGGATCCCCCCCGAGCACACCAACGGCCTGCACAGCCCCCCGCCCGCGCCCGGCTCCCTGCCCCTGTCCCCCGGCTCCCTGCCCGTGTCCCCCGGCGCGCTCCGCCGCAGCCTGGAGGCCGTCAAGGCCTTGGCCTCCAAAGCCGCCTCGGCCTCCTCGGCGCTCAGTCCCCCCCCGGCGTCGTCCCCGGGCTCCCCCGGCGCGGAGCCGGCGCGGGCGGGCGCGGCCCAGGGGGACGGGCACTCCCTGCCGCCCATCGCCCGGCGCCTCGGCCACCACCCGCCCCAGTCCCTGAACGTGGGCAAGCCCCTGTACCAGAGCATGAACTGCAAGCCCATGCAGATGTACGTGCTGGACATTAAGGACACCAAGGAGCGGGGCAGGGTCAAGTGGAAAGTGTTCAACAGCAGCTCCGTGGTGGGACCCCCCGAGACCAGCCTGCACACGGTGGTGCAGGGCAGGGGTGAGCTCATCATCTTCGGCGGCCTCATGGACAGGAAACAGAACGTCAAATACTACCCCAAAACAAATGCCTTGTACTTTGTGCGAGCAAAGAGATAATGCGGCCCCAGCCCGCCGCCACCCCCGTCCTCCCCCTTCCCGCGGCTCTTCCCGGTCCTTCCCGGCCCCCGTCCCGTCACACAGCGACCAAACTGTGAATTAGGGAGCAGGAAACCAATAAAAGTCCGAGCAAAGCCTCCAGTGCTGCCCAGTCAGACCCCAGTGAAGCCAGTGGCGGAAGGACCCCAGGGATTTGGGGTGGATGGAATTCTGCCATCCGGGACCCCCAGAAGGTTGATTTTCTGAGGGTTTGGGAGGCTTCGTCCCTCCAAAACCCCTCCAGAGCTCCTTGAGAGCCTCATGGGGTTTGAGTGAACCTGGTTTTGTAGGAACGACCCAAACTCTGGCAGGCAGGAGGAAGGAGCCAGGTGAATTCCACGCCTGGCTCCCTCAGGAGAACAGCAGCAATATCCCGCTGGGAATGCCCAGCGCTGGGAAATCCTGCTCGACACAAACACGATGCCTTTTTTTTTGCCTCACCTGCCGCTCTCGCCCCTGTCCTTGGGCAGGGCCAAAACAAGGAGGAAAGGACAGGATTTTGTGTCAGAATGCCAAATATATTGATTGTTCCCATCCCTCCTCTCCCTGCCGTGCTGGATCAGGCTTCGGGATCGGCCCCAATCCCATCTGATCACTTATCTCCCCAAAATGGAGACATTTGGCTGCCAATTCCCCTCTGGACTTCAAGGATTCATTTCACTCGACATCCCAAACCCGTTCAAGGCCAAACCAGCCCCTTGGAGCCTGGGAACAGGGTGGGTTTTCCAGGGAAAAGGATGGATATTGGTGAATTTGAGGGCGTGAGCAGCCTCTGCAGCAACTTCACCTCATCTTTGCACGTGCCTCCTTCCACAAGGATTCCGTTCAAATCCCAAGGGATTGAACCTGTGCGTCCTTCTGGGACAACCCCCGTCCTTCCCTTTCCCCTCCGGGGGGTGGGAAAAACAGGTGGATTCTGCCAGGTTTTGGTCAACAACCTCCAGGACCCCGAAAACAGGGAGCCCTCCCCACGCCGGCAGCGCCATGATGTGGTCCCTCCTTCCCGGGATTTTTGTTTCCCCCCATTCCCACTGAGCTTTTTGCCGGTCGGAGCCTTAAATCCCATCCCAGCCGTGTGGGGATGGGGAGGGATTTGCTTCACCCTGTTGCCACCTCTGTAAATAAACCCCTGGTCCAACCCGACCTCTCCTGTCCATCCCAAAATGATTTGTCCCAAGGGAAAAGCAAAATTGTCCCTGTCCCAAAAAAACCAGAAACCTCAGGAGCACCAAGGGTGAGCTGTGAAATATTCCCTCTAGGAAGGCGGTCGGGGCTTCGGCAGCGATTCCCACCCCCCTTTGCATGTTTTTGGTCATCCATCCCAAAAAAAGAAAGGGATGGATGGAGCGTTGATTCCTTCTCCCTACGCGGGGCACCCCTGGAGGGGTGTTTTCCCGACGTTTACATCCTGAAAATCCCACCAAGCCGGGGCCGTCCCTGCTCCACCCCCGCCATGGAAACGCATGTTCTGTGCCCTTAACGAGGAATTCCTCCCAAACTTTGATCCCTGGATCCCCCGGGAGCCGCTGGTGCTGTGAGCGAGGTGCCCCCCCCGCGACTCAGGTGTCCCCCCCGCCGTCATTCCCGACTGCAGGAACGGGAAGCGATTCCGGTGATATTTAAAACCTTCTGTACATTTTTGGGGGGTTCGTGGGGGTCCCTCCCCCCCAATCCCAAGGAATTTTTAGCGGTTTAACAAATAAAAAAAAAAGGAAAAGAAATGGATGGTCAGTGATTTCAGGGAGGGAATGACACGGAGGGGAATTCCCTGCTGCCATTCCCAAAAGTTTGGGGGTGAAAAAGGGAGAATGTGGGGTCTTTGGGGGTGAAAAAAGGGGAATATGTGTCCCAGGAGCAATGGGGGGGAAGGGAGGCAACAGGGTTGGGGGTTCAGGAAAAGGGGGGAGTGCTGGGAACCAGGGATCCCAAAGCTTGTCAGGGATGGAAATTGGGAATGGGGACCCCAAAGCTCACTGGGGTTGGAAACTGGGGACCCCAAAGCCTGCTGGAGGTGGGAATTGGGGCCCCCAAGTCTTGTTGGGGATGGAAACAGGATGGGAGCCCCAAAGCCTGCCAGAGTTGGGAACTGGGGGGGCCCTCAGCCCTGTTAGAGGTGGGAATTGGGGATGGGGACCACAATTCCTGGGAGAACTGGGAACTCGGGCCCCCAAAGCCTGCCAGGGCTGGGAATTGGGGATGGGGACCCTAAAACCTGCTGGGGCTGGAAACTGCAGATCCCAAACCCTGCCAGTGTGGGGGATTTTAGACCCCACAGCATTCCAGGGTCAGTAATTAGGGAGGAGGACTCCAAAGCCTGGGAGAATTGGGGACCCCAAAGCCTGTTGGGGCTGGGAATTGGGGATGGGGATCCCAAAATCTGTTGGGGCTGGAATTTGGGAGCTGGGGATCCTAAAGCCTGTCAGGGCTGAGATTTGGGGATGGGAACCCCAAAGTCTGCCAGTGTTTGGAATTAGTGACCCCAAAGCCTGTTGGGATTGGAAACTGGGGATGGAACTCCAAAGTCTGCTGGATCTGGGAACTGGGGACTCAAAAACCTGTCAGGGCTGGGAATTGGGGATCCCAAAGCCGGGGGGAGGGCTGGAATTTGGGACCCCAAAGCCTGTCGGGGCTGGAATTTGGGGATGAGGATCCCAAACTGGGCAGTGTTGGGAACTGCGGATCCCGAAGCAGGGCCGGGGGCTCTGCACGCGCCGCCCCGGCCCATCCCCGGCGCATGCGCGGTGACGGGGGCGTGGTCTCGCTCTAGCCACGCCCTTTGTGTGACGTCACGCGGAAGCGGCGGTGAGCGGAGGGGCCGCGTCTTAAAGGGACCGCGCCGGGAAATTGGGGGGGTGGCGACACAAACTGGGGGGGCTCGGGGGGCACAGAGCGCGGGGAGGGAGAGGGGGGCTGCGATCACCCCCTTTTAAATGTTGGGGAGGGGGACGGAGCCCGTTGGGAGGGCACAGACCCCGTGAGGGGGGCGGGGACCCCCTGGGAGGGTGGTGGGACCCCCGAGGGGGGTTTGGAGACCCGGGGGGGACTTCTGTGACCCCGTGGGCGGTTTTAGAGACCCCAAAGGAACTTTTAGGTACCCCATGGGAGGATTTTAGGGACCCCCTGGGGGGTTAGAGACCCTGTGGAGGGTTTTAGGGACCCCCTGGGGGGTTTAGGGACCCTGTGGAGGGTTTTAGGGACCCCCTGGGGGGGTTAGGGACCCTATGGAGGATTTTAGGGACCCCCTGGAGGGTTAGAGACCCTGTGGAGGGTTTTAGGGACCCCACAGGTGGTTTAGGAACCCCATAGGAGGTTTTAGGGACCCCAAGGGAATTTTTAGGGACCCCATGGCAGGATGCAGAGACCTCAGAGGGGGGTGCGAGGACCTCACGGGTGGTTTCAGGGACCCCCGGGGGGGTTTAGGGACCCCAAGGGAATTTTAGGGGCCCCAAGGGGGGTTCAGGGACCCCACAGGTGGTTTTAGCGACCCCATGGGGGGTTTTAGGGACCCCAAGAGAATTTTTAGGGGCCCCATGGCAGGATGCAGAGACCTCAGAGGGGGGTGCAGGGATCCCACAGGGAGTTTAGGGACCCTATGGGAAGATGGTGGGATCCCAGAGGGGAATTTAGGGACCCCCTGGGCGGTTTTAGGGACCCCAAAGGAACTTTTAGGTACCCCATGGGAGGATGCTGGGACCCTATGGGCGTTTTAGGGACCCCCTGGGCAGTTTTAGGGACCCCATGGGGGGCTTTAGGGACCCCAGGAGAATTATTAGGGATCCCATAGCAGGATGCAGAGACCTCAGAGGGGGGTGCAGGGACCCCACGGGCGCTTTTAGGGACCCCACAGGGGGTTTAGGGACCCCATGGGAGCATGGTGGGATCCCAGAGGGGAATTTAGGGACCCCCTGGGCGGACTTAGGGGCCCCATGGGGGGATTCAGGGACCCCATGGGTGGTTTTAGGGACCCCGAGGGAATTTTTAGGGCCTCCCTGGGCTGACCCAGAGCCCCCGGGGGGGTCAGAGGGGCCCCCCCGCCCCCCCAGAGCCGCGGGGTGCAGTGACCCCCGGGGGACGGGGGGTCCCCTCCGTGTCCCGCAGGCGCGGGGGGTCCCATGGCAGAGCGGGATTCCCAGGATCCGCAGGATTCCCAGGATCCGCGGGATTCCCCGCTGGAGCGGGGCTGGCTCCTGTCGCCCCCCGGCCGCCCCTACCTGGAGTCGCTGCTGCAGCGGAACCGGCGGCGGGTGTTCGGTGAGACCCCCGCCCCGCCCGGGCTCAGCCCCCCAAAACCCCCCAAAACCGCCCCAAAACCGCCGTCCCCCCTCCCCAGGGCTGCTGGAGCGGCCGGCGCTGCCGCCCCCCCTGGCCGTGCCCACCCTGCCCTACAAACTGTTCCTGGTGGGAAGAAGCGGCGTCGGGAAAAGCGCCCTGGTGGCAGCGCTGGCCGGGACCCCCCGGACCCCCCGGACCGCCGCGACCCCCGCGCACCACGAGACCCTCGGTACGGCCCGGGGGGGCGGGAGCCATTGGAGGGGGATTTGGGATCCCACAGGGGGTTTGGGATCCCACAGGGAGCTCAGGGACCCTGGGAGGGGAGTGTTCATGGACCCCCGATGGTGGGACCCCATAGAGGGTTCTGGGATCTCACAGGGGGTGTCAGGGACCCCTTGGGAGGGTGGTGGGACCTCTGATGGTGGGACCCCACAGGGGATTCAGGGACCCTTTGGTGGGGATGGTGGGACCCCACAGGGGGTTTGGGACCCCACAGGGGTGTCAGGGATCCTGGGGGGGGCTGTTCATGGACCCCTGATGGTGGGACCCCATAGAGGATTCTGGGACCCCATAGGGGGTTCAGAGGTCCCATAGGGGTGAACAGGGACCCTATAGGGGCGCACAGGGACCCCCGATGGTGGGACCCCACAGGGGGTTTGGGATCCCATAGGGGTGTCAGGGATCCTGGGGGGGCGGTTTATGGACCCTGATGGTGGGACCCCATAGAGGATTCTGGGACCCTACAAGGATGTCAGGGACCCTTTTGGGGGTTCTGGGACTCTCTGGGGATATCCAGGGCCCCCTGATGGTGGGACCCCATAGAGGGCTCTGGGATCCCATGTGGGGGTTCAGGGACCCCACAGGGGGTTTGGGGATCCCATAGGGTTGTCAGGAACCCTCTGAAGGGGTTCATGGACCCCTGATGGTGGGATCCCACAGCAGGTTCTGGGACCCTACAGGGATGTCAGGGGCCCTTTGGGGGGGTTCTGGGACCCCATGGGGGGTGGTAGGACTCCAAAGAGGGTTCTGGGACCCTACAGGGATGTCAGGGACCATTTGGGGGGAAGGGTCCGGGACCCCATGGGGGTATTCAGGGACCCCTGATGGTGGGACCCCAGAAGGGGTTCAGGGACCCCACGAAGAGGTCCCTCTGGGGGGATTCAGAGACCCCATGGGAGGATACAGGGATGGGGAGGGCACAGACCCCACAGGAGGGGTGCAGAGATCCCATAGAGGGGGTTCATGGACTCTATGGGGGAGTTCTGGGACCCCATGGTGGGTTCTGGGACCCCACAGAGGGTTCAGGGATCCCAAAGGGGATGCAGGGAATCTGTGGGGAGGGCACAGACCCCATAGGAGGGATGCAGGGCCCCTGGGGGGGTTCAGGAACCCCGTGGGATGATACAGGGACTCCATGGGCACAGATCCCATGGTTGGGGTCTCCCCTGGCCCCGTGTCACCCCCCCAGGCAGGTTTGCACCCCCAGATTTCCCCCCCCGGGTGTCTCAGGGGGCTGAGACTGGGCAACACTTCATCACACCGATGGATTGGCAACTCCCACTGATTTTTGGGGGGTTCTGGGAGGATTTTTGGGATTGTTGGTGTCTCCCTTGACCACCATCAGTGGGTTTGCACCCCCAGACTTCACCCCACTCCATCCCCGGGCAGGCTGAGAACGGGCAACACTTCGTTACACTGATGGGTTCACAGACGCTGCTCATTTTTATGGGATTTGGGGGCATTTTTGGGGGTGTCGGTGTCACCCCTGACCCCGTGTCCCCCCCCAGGGCAGGTTTGCAACCCCCATTCAATCCCTGGTTGGGCAGAGCCCGTTCACACTTCATTGCACTGATGGATTCCCAGCCCCTGTGGGGTTTTCGGGGGTTTGGAGGGGGATTTTTGGGGGTGTTGGTGTCACCCTTGGCCCCGTGTCCCCGTTTGCACCCTGGATTTCACCCCAGGGAAATCCTACCTGGGCAGGCTGAGAACGGGCAACACTTTGTTACACTGATGGATTGGCAACTCCCACTGAGTTTTAGGGGGTTTGGGGGTGATTTTTTTAGGGGGCTTTGGGGTGATTTTTAGGGGGCTTTGGGGTGATTTTTTTAGGGGGCTTTGGGGTGATTTTTAGGGGGCTTTGGGTATTTTTTTAGGGTGCTTTGGGGTGGTTTTGTAGGGAGCTTTGGGCTGATTTTTTAGGGGGGTTTGAGGTGATTTTTCGGGGGTTTTGGGAGGTTTTTGGGGGTGTCGGTGCCCGTGTGCCCCCCCAGGGTCCCAGCCCCGCGTGTGTCCCCAGGGATCGAGGCCACCACGGTGTTCTGGCCGGCCCAGCCCCGGGGCAGCGCCCGGCCCGTCCTCTTCCAGCTGCACTTCTGGGACTGCGGGGACGGAGCCCTGAGGAAATTCGAGCACCTGCTGCCCGTGAGTCCCTTTTTTGGGGCGGGGGGACCCCCCCGGGACCCCCCTGACGTTGTTTGCCCCCCCCAGGCCTGTCGGGAGGAGCTGGACGCCGTCCTGGTGCTGTTCTCCTTCACCGACCGCGCGTCCTTCGAGGAGCTGCCGGCGCAGCTGAGCCGCCTCTCGGGGCAGGGGCTCGTCACCGTGGTCGTGGGCACCAAGTATCCTTTTGGGGGGGCGCCCGGGGGGGGGCAGCGCCCCACGAAGGGGGTTTGCACCCCCAGAGTCCTCCCGGGTGGGATCTCATGTGGCTGAGAACGGGCGGCACCTCGTTACACTGATGGGGTCACGAATCCCACGGGTTTTTAGGGGGCTTGTTGGGGGGGTGTTTGGGGTGTTGGGGTCTCCCCTGGCCCTGTGTCACCCCCCAACTTCCCCCGGGCAGGTTTGCACCCCCAGATTTCACGCCACTTGGAATCTCGGCAGGCTGAGAATGGGCAACACTTCGTTACACTGATGGGTTTGATGGGGTCACAAATCCCACTGGTTTTTAGGGGGCTTGGGGTGTTGGGGTCTCCCCTGACCCTGTATCACCCCACCACAGGCACCCCCAGACCTCTCACCCCTTGGCATCTCAGCAGGCTGAGAACGGGCAACACTTCATTGCACTGCTGGGTTTGGTGGGGTCACAGTCCCCACCGGCTTTGGGGGATTTGGGGGGATTGTTTGGGGTGTTGGGGTCTCCCCTGTCTGAGTGTGTCCCCCCACAATGAGGTTTGCACCCCAGATCTCTCACCTCTCCATCGCTGGGCAGGCTGAGAACGTGCAGCACTTCATTACACCCAGGGGGTCACAGCTCTGGCTGATTCTTAGGGGGCTTTGCCTCCCTACGGGTGGGTTTGCGGGGTGTTGGGGTCTCCCTTGGCCATGGGTGCCCCCCCCGAGTGGATTTGCACCCCCAGATTTCACACCAGTTGGTGTCTCAGGAACACTTCGTTACACTGATGGATTGGCAACTCCCACTGATTTTCAGGGGATCTGGGGGGGGTATTTTGGGGTGTTGGTGTCACCCTTGGCCCCGTGTCCCCATCTGCACCCCCAACATTTCACCCCACTCCATCCCTGGGCAGGCTGAGAATGGGCAACACTTCATTACATGGATGAACTCCACGGGTTCACGGCATCCACTGATTTTTAGGGAGTTTTGGGAGGATTTTTGGGGTGTTGGTGTCACCCGTGACCTCGTGTCCCCCCCCAGGGCAGGTTTGCCCCATCCCGTCTCCCCCCTGCAGAGCCCGTTCCCAGCTCGTCGCACTGATGGATCCGCAGCTCCCGCGGGGTTTGGGGGGGGTTTGGGGGGGTTTTGGGGGCGTTTTGGGGGTTTTGGGGGTGTTTTGGGGGGGTTTTGGGGTGCTGCCGTTTCCCTTGACCCCCCGTGCCCGCAGGTCCGACCTGTCCCCGCACGCGGCCGTGGCCGAGCGGGACGTGCGGGCTCTCGAGGCCGAGCGGGGGCTGCGGGTGCTGCGCGCGGGGGCGGCCCCGGGGGGGGCGCGGGCCGGGCTGGCCCGGGCGGCCCCGATCCTCGATTCCCTGGCGGAGCAGCTCTGGAAAAGGGACCAGGTCGCCGCGGGGGTGGCCCGGGGGGAGGAGGGGACCCCCCCCAGCTGATCCCCCTGTCAGGGGGCGGCTCCGGGGGGAGGCGGGAGGAGAAAAGGTGCTTTTTGAGTAAAATCTGTGTTTTCTATGAAAAATATCCCGGGGTGCCTAAACTTCCTACATGTTCCTGAAATTCAGAGGATTTGGAGTGCAGGGGGATTTGGGGTGCTGGGATGGGGGTGCGGGGGATTTGGGGTGCTGTGCGTTGTGGAGATGGGGGTGTGGGGGATTTGGGAGGGTTGGTGCAGTGGGATCGTGGGGATGTGGGTCCTGCAGGATTTGGGGTGCTGTGTGTTGTGGAGATTGGGGTGCTGGGGGATTTGGGGTGCAATGGGATCATGGGGATGTGGATCCTGCAGGATTTGGGGGGCTGCAGATGCTGGAGGATTTGGGGTGCTGGGGGTTGATGAAGATCAGGGTGCTGGGGGATTTGGGGGGATTTGGGGTGCAGTGGGATCACAGTGATGTGGGTTCAGGAGAATCTGAAGTGCTGAAGGATTTGGGGTGCTGGGATGGGGGTCCTGGGAGATTTGAGGTGCCTTGGGGTAAGTGGGATGCTGAGAATTTGGGGTGCAATGGGATGTGGAGGCTGCCGGATTTGGGGTACTGGAGAGGTTGAAGGATTTGGGGTGCTGGGGGGTGCTGGGATGGGGGTGTGGGGGGATTTGGGGTGCTAAGATGGGGGTGTGCTGGGCGATTTAGGGTAAGTGGGGTGTGCCGGGGACTTGGAGTGCCATGGGATCATGGGGGTGTGGGTGCTGCAGGATTTAGGGTGCTGGGGATGGGGGAATGGGGGATTTGGGGTGCTGTGGATCCTGTGGGATTTGAGGTGCCATAGAGTGATGGGGATTTGGGGTGCTGGGAGATTTTGGGTGCTGTGCGTTATGGAGATGTGGGTGCTGGAGAATTTGGGGTGCTGGGGGATTTGGGGTGCAGTTGGGATCCTGGGATGGGGGGGTGGGGGCTGCAGGATTTGGGGTGCTGCAGATCCTGGGGGATTTGGGGTGCTGTGAGATAGTGGGAGGGCGGCAGGATTTGTAGTGGGACTTGAGGTGCTTGGGGGAGATGGGGGTGCTGCAGGATTTGGGATGCTGCAGGATTTGGGGTGCTAGTGGTGATGGGATTGGGGTGCTGCGGGATTTGGGGTGATGGGGTTGGTGGGTTTGGGGGTGCTGCGGGATTTGGGGTCCCGTGGGTGGTGCAGGATTTGGGGTGCTTCGTGAAGGTTTGGGGTGCTGAGGATTTGGGGCGCTGTGGGGTTTGGGGCCCTGGGGCTCGAGGGGGCCGGGCAGCCCCCGCAAACCAGCCCCTCCCCCAGTCCCCCCAGTCCCGAACTGGTGGGCGGGAGGCGTGGCCGGTAGTAGCCCCTGGCCCCGCCCCCCTCCCGCCATTGGCTACCGCCCCCCCCCCCTTCCCACGCCGGTTATGAATGAACGGGGAGGGGGCGGGGGGGGCTCCGGGACCCCTTCGCGGCCGGACCGGGACCCCCAAAGCCCCCCCAGGGCTGTTCCCCGATCCCCGGGGGCGCTCCCAGAGCCCGCTCCCTTCCGACGGCCGCGTCCCACTCCCGGCAGCGCGGCCTCCCAGTGCCGGACTGGGGCGAACTGGGAGCGGCCGCGGCGCCTTTAAGAGCGGGCGTGGCCGGTGACGTCACCGGGGCATGAATGAACAGGAGCGGGCGCGCGCCCCACACACCCAACACACCCCACGCACCCCACACCTCGCGGGGCACCCCCGGCACCCCCCGCCATGGCCGGGACCCCCCCGACCCTCACCCTCCTCCTCCTCACCGCCCTCACCCCCCTGCCCCCCGCGGCGGCCGAGGAAGGTGAGTCCCGCACTTCTATTCTGGGGGGGTGGGACACCCCAAAACTCATTGTTGGGGGGCTGGGGGGGAATTCGTAGGGGTGAGGCGGTTTTGGGGCAAATCCGCGTGGTTTTGGGGCGTTGAGAGGTTGGGGAACGCTCGGAAAGTAAAGGAAGAAGGGGCGCCCCCCCCCCAAAATAAATTTGGGGTGCGGGGGGGAATCAGCGGCTGCGGGGGGGAAATGGTTAAAATGAGAGGGAAAAGTTAAAATTAGGGTGGGAAAGTTGAAGCGAAGGGGGAAAAGTTAAACTAAGAGGGGAAAAGTTGAAATAAGTGGGAGGGGGGTTAAAAAGGTGGGGGAGAAGCTAAAAATGGGGGGGGGGGGGGAGCTAAAATGGGCCCGGGGACTAAAATATAGGAGGGAAAAGTTTAAACGGAGGGAAGAAAAGCTAAAAAAAAGGAAAACCAAGAGGTTTGGGGTTTTTCCCATGCCGAGTGTCCGGCTGACGCTCCGGGGCCGGGTCCTGGTGGGAGCCCCCAAAAAAACACTGACAGAGGGGCGCGGGTGGAGAGGATTAAAAACCAAACCCCCCGAAAAGGGGAAAATCCCCCTAAAATGAAGCGTTTCCCATGGGCGGTTCAGGGCCGGGCGGGATCCGGCCCGGAGAGCTGGAAAACAATGTCAGGAAAATCCCAAAAATCGCTGGGAAAAAACAAGCAGCGTCTCGGCCTCCACCCCACAACCCTTCCCCCCGTGGTTTTTGGGCTTAGTTTGGGGGGTTGGGGTAAAAAAAGAAAAGGGAGAATTCACTTTTTTTTATACATAGATTGAAGTTCTTAAAAATTAAAGTCTCTCCAAACTCTGCCCGACGGGTTTAATCCGGCGTTTTTCGAGGGAAAGGGGGAAGAATCCGGCCCCAAATGCAAATAAATGGGAGGCTGGGATGGAAAATACCCCCCTAAGAACTAAAAATGGGGTGGAAAAAACCCTGAAGTGAGGATTTTGGGGAGTGCAGGGGGGAAGGGGGAGGGGGGCGACCCCGTGGAGGGACCCCCAACACCCCGATTCGGCTGCAGGATTTGGGGGGTGTTCCCAAAGTGCCGATTCCCAGGAGGGAATGTTGGAATTTGGGGTTTCAAAAGGGCAGGGGAGGGAAGGGAAGGGAAAGTGGTGGGAGAGCAGCAGGATTTGGGGTTAAGGGGGGTTGGTTCCCAGCGCTTGGAAAGGGCGAGATCCGGTGGGATTTGGGGAGATCTGAGGGTGGGGAGGGGGTTAAGGAGCAGGGAATGGGATGGGATCCATTTTGGGATTATGATTGGGATTATGATTGAGACTGAGGAGGGGACAGGATTGGGATGGGGATGGGAGTGAGAGGGCATGGGATTCACAGTGGGATTGGGATTCAGATTAAGGTTGGGATGAGGGTGGGATTGGGATGGGACTGGGGTGGGGACAGGAACGTGAGTGGAGGGGACAGGATTTGGGTTCATTTTGGGTGTGGGGACAGGATTGGGATGGGATGAGGATAGAACAAGACAGGGTGGAAAACGCAGTTGGATGGGGATAGGGACAGGGATGGAGCCGGGAATGGGACCGGGATGCAGCTGTGGAGTGGGGAGGGGTGAGGAGGAGGAGGAGGGGGTGAGGAGGAGGATGGGGGGATGGCCACGTTCATGGTGGCACATGGTGGTGGTGGCCACGGCGATGAAGATGATGAAGATGAAGGGGGGGGGGGGTGGCCGTGGTGACGATGGCAATGGAGAATGTGAGGATGGTGATGAGGATGGTGATGATGGCGGGGGGGGCAGGTGTCGCCGGAGCTGTCCCGGGGCTGTCCCGGGAGCTGCCGGGATGCTGCACCCTTTTGACTCAGCAGCCACAGCCCCGGGATCCTCCCTGAGCACCCCCCGCCCGGCACGGGGGACCCCACGGGGACCCACAGGGGCCCCCCCGCCCCAAAACCGGGGGGAGCTCAGAGAGAACCCACAGGGAACCCCCGGACCCAAAACCGGAAGGAACCCGCAGGGAACCCCCCGCCCCAAAACCGGGGGGACCCCACAGAGAACCCCCCGCCCCAAAACCGGGGGGACCCCACGGGGAACCCACAGGGAACCCCCGGACTCAAAACCAGGGGGACCCCACAGAGAACCCCCCGGGACCCCCCGCCCCAGCCCGGGGGGATCCGGCCCCGGCTCCCGGCGCTTTCCGCCCTCCGGAGGCACGCGGGGGGATTTCCAGCCGCAGGAAAACCGGGATATCCGCCCGGGCATCCTTCCTGACCCCGGGCACAGCGGTGAGGAGGTGGGGGGGACACAATTCCTTCCCCCCCCCCGTTCCGTTTTAAGCACCAAATCCCAACATTCACTCCTGGGAATCAGCACTTTGGGAACACACCCCAAATCCCGCAGCCGCCCCGGGGTGTTGGGGGGTCCCCGCCAAGGGGTCACCCCCTTTTATCTTTCCCCCAGCTCTTCCAAAAAAATCCTCGTTTTAGGGGTTTTTCCCCCATTTTTGGTTTCTTAGGGAGGCGTTTTCCATCCCAGCCTCCCATTTATTTGCATTCGGGGCCGGGCTCTTCCGCCTTTCCCTCGAAAAACGCCGGATTAAACCCGTCGGGCAGAGTCTGGAGAAACTTTAATCCTAAAAGAAATCAATGGATGTGAATTTGCCCCCCCCCCCTGCAGGTTTTGGGGTGTGTCTCCCCCCCGAGTTCACCCTCCGGGGCAGGTCGAGCTCGTCCGTTCCCAGCGGGGGGAGCCGGGGGGGCACATCCCCCATCCCGGCCCTCCCCCGTCCCGCCGGACCCATCCCGGTGACCTCGGGCGTCCGGGCACATTCCTGGGGGGTGATTCACTGAGGGGGGGCCCCGCTCCCTCCTGGCCTCGGCGGCCTCCTCTTCCTCCCCTTCCTCCTCTTCCTCTCCGGGCGCTGGATCCGGACCCGCCCTGGACGTGCCCCGGCAGGTCCGGGCCCGGCACCGTCACTGCTCCCCCTCCTTTGGGGGCGGCTCGGGGGCATCCCGGGGGAATCTGTTGGGAATGGGGGCGGGATCCGTGGGTCTAAGGGACGTTTGTGGGGTCTGGGAATGTTTGGAGGTCGTGTGGGGATGTCTGTGGGGATGGGGTGGATCTGGGGGTCCTGGGGACCTCTGGGGGTCCTGAGCACATCCATGGATCCTGGTGGGATCTGTGAGGCCAAGGGATATCCATGGATCCTGAGAACATCCATGGATCCTGGTGGCATCTGTGGGGCCAAGGGATATCCGTGGGTGCTGAGGATATCCATGGAT